GAGGGGGGGGGGTCATATCTTTTCTGTGGATCTGACCACTAGGTCTGTTGGTGCTGATCTCCATAATATTGTTCTGTTGGAGAAACGGAAAGTGGTGAGCAAAGTCAACAATAACAACATTAACAGCAACAGCAACAACAACAAAAACAACAACAACAGTAACAGCAGCAACAATAGGAACAACAAATCAGCATCAACAACAGCAACAACAAGAGTGGAGCAGTACCAACAACAACACCAAAAACAAAAAGTGAGAAACATCGTCAACAGCAAAACCAGTTACCAAGAGTGTTCAGTCTTTACATCTAGAGTGCCCATTGGCACGATCGGTTCAGTTCGGTTTGGTTCGGTTGGCTAGTCAGATTGAGGGCACAACGCAGCTGCTCTATCTTGGCACAAACAGATCACCCGACTCGCCGCCTCAAAAACGAATGGTTTATTTTCAGGCCACGAGTCAGGCGATCGGTTGGTGATCGGTTTGTATTAGAGAACTGATCCCCAAATGGGCGCTTGTGATAATTTTTTAGCTTTTTAGTTTTAGTAGAGGTTTTACGGCATTCACAACTGCATAAGGTCATATGAGCGCCAGAAGATTAGAGGTGTTACAAGAGGGTAACAAACATAAAAAAGAAGAAGGGGAGATAAGGATTATAGATGTTTAATAGGAAAGAAGGAGCAAACCACACCAGAGCACCCGCCAATCACCCGCTCATTATAATTTATGGTGAAAAACAAACAAGGACCTTGTGACAAAACAGCTTTCTGGGCTATCTATAATACCCTTCCAGTTTTCCTTCTAGATTATGCTGGGCTTTTAATCATTAGGTCCCCTATGGTCTTTCGGTACCTCTAAAACATTTTGCTTCAGAACATGGGAGTAACCAATGACTTTCTGCTGCTTTGAATCAGTTGTTGTAGTGTTTTTCTTCATTTCCAAACAGATTGAGTTTCAGTCACTGTTTTCACTTTTTGGTTATGATCGATTCATTTTGTCACAAAAGCCGTTTAAAAGGAAAACTCACTCTCTGGTTGAGAATTTGAAACTCTGGCAACTTCTGCAGGTCAACAAAATCCGTGACGACACCGGTCTTCTCATCTACTTCTTTCACGGACAGAGAGGGGGGTGATTTTTTGCCATTGATCCTAGAGACAGGGTGTGTTCCGTTCTCAGCGGGCGGCTGGCAGGTGGTCACTGGCTGTTGCGTCATCCTGTGGACTAGTCAGTGGTCGGTCAGCAGTTCCTGGAAAAACACGAGAAAAGGAAAATGTGGGAAAATATGTAGACTTTACGCGCTCTGTGCTATGAAACGTCGTTATGACAACGAGTTTGAACTGACATGTATTTATATCCCGACGGCAATCAATGTTCCAACATACATGGTAATCGTTCGCCTTAAATAATAGTGGTTCACATGATTTCGCAAATTCGGTACATCGTGGGTGGGGCAGGTAACAGCGCACCGTTCAATGCTTATTAATTTAACAAACGTTTTTTGAGTTGTTTTTTTTACATACCATTGATCTCTCGTACTCCAACTTAACTTCCAAGTACAGAAAGTATTAATAAGAAGGTGGGAGAGCTTCACAAAAGCGCGAGGAGGGTTTATGTAATAAATGAGCGGGTCACGATGCGGTGGAATCGGGCGCTAGTCGATTTTTGGGCTTGTGGATTTATTGGTTTTTATCAAAAAGCTTGTTCATTCATTTGCCTTGCTTTCGATGAAAAAAATACATATCTATCTAGAATAAAAGTTGAGATATTTGCTATTGAAAGAGGTGGGGTTGCCTGGTGTAAGAAAGTAAAATTAGTGAGAATGGCCACCAAAGTTTGGTGACTTCCAAAGCTTGAGAGCACTTGGAAACTGGAAATTTTCATGTTTCATTTTTCCAGTAAAATCCACACGAAAAAAATGTATTTGTACAAGGACATAAAACGTGATGAGCCAAAAAACTAATTTCTATCAAAATTGCCTAACGGGAAAGGAAATGCCGATTTCTTCGATTTCATTATTTTAAGGAGCACCTGGTCTCACCACGATGCCTCTTTTGGCAATTCGTAAAAAAAAAACCCAGTGTGAATTTGTTTCCTATTCAATGTATGCTTCTTAGTGTTTGCAGGGTAGGCCTAGTCGTTATATTGTAAAACGCAAAAGGCAATATCAAAATATACTTTTCTACCGCTGTATGATCACCCCCCCCCCAACAACAGCCCCTATCTACTCTAAACAATTTAAACCTATCGAAGTTAAGAACGCAATACTAACACATTTTCAACGTTATTGAGACCGGAAAAAAACTGTAACTTGCATTACAATAGAAGTCACCATCTCATTGCGGAAAACGTGATCGAAAGACTTTTCCAAGAGGAAAGGTAAAAGAAATGGTTTTGAATTTCGCCATTTGTTGATCACAACATGTAAAAGACTATTGCATTCAACAATTTAAGTTTACCCTCAGAACTAAATTTAAACAATACTAAGTAATGATATTAACACAACATAATGCTACTCAAAAATGCATAGACATATAGTATTCTTCTGTCATCCAGTACTGTTTACTGTCCTTCAATCATTGCATACGGAAACGTTTACTAAAGTAAAAAAAAAGTTCCAAGAATTGTATTACTTTTAAACCAGTAGATCTACTTTATATCAATCAAATAGAAGTTTATAATATTAAATTCATTGAATGCTGAGTGCTTTATGGAAATAGATAAAATTAATTGTTTACTCTACTCAAATATTAATATTATAATAACTGTACAATCATTAAAACCAATGCTTTATAACAGAATCAAGAGCAGTTTATCAGCTAAGTAAACGTATAAATCCAAACATTTCTATCTCTCTCTCTCTCTCTCTCTCT